AAGAGAATCACTTAAGCCCAAGAGTTTGAGGTTGCTGTAAGCTGCAATGTCAGGGCACTCTACCAAGAACAACATTGTAACACTCTGTCTCAAAATAAATAAATAAATAATAAATAAAAATAAAAAATGTATATATATGGGTCAGAAAACAAGCCCAGCAAAGTTAAGTAATCCACTCAAATTTACACAGCTAGTATGAGGTAAAGCTGGGCTATGAATCCAGAACCTATCGAACGTAACTCCTACACCCACTGATTCTAACCTAAGCTTGACAAAAAGTCAAACTATACCTGTGGGCTCGTACTTCCACTATGTTTAGTGAAAGAAAATAAGGGATGGAAATTTAATTTACATATGACTTCAAACTGGCCAAACCTTGCTTAAATCAATATGGCTATCTTGGCTCGGCGCCTATGGCTCAATCGGCTAAGGCGCCAGCCACATACACCTAAGGTGGCGGGTTCAAATCCAGCCCCGGACCCGCCAAACAACAATGACAGCTGCAACCAAAAAATAGCCAGGCATTGTGGCAGGCGCCTGTAGTCCCAGCTACTTGGGAGGCAGAGGCAGGAGACTCGTTTGAGCCCAGGAGTTGGAGGTTGCTGTGAGCTGTGATGCCACAGCACTCTACCCACAGGGATAGTTTGAGGCTCTGTGTCCAAAAAAAAAAAAAAAGTAAAAAATATGACTATCTTATACCTATAACCTGTCAGGAACTTTAATAAAGACACTGAAAATTTAATAACTGCAGAGTAGAACAATGATATTGCAAAAACTTCCCATTCAGAAAGATTTCCTTTAGGAAATGTTAGCCAAATCTTAAAGCAAAGCACAAACCTGCAATACTTAAAACTATTTAAAATATTCAGAAAGTAAGAAACAAACTAATAGTGAAATCCTTCAAAATTTTAAAAAATTATTTCCAGTATCTAAACTCCTTTTATTCACTTTTGCTTAAATACAACAAAATCAAAATATCCATAAATTTTTAAAGACTACACTAAAACATCACATGTGTAACAATGTGCTACATCTTTAGACACCAGACCAAAACATACACACGCACAACGCCAAATAGAACACGCTTACCCTTTTAAGGTCTTAGTCCTCCCCTCAAACCCACCAATTCTTAAAAATTAAGTAATTGCTTTCACATACCTCTCAGCCATATTTTTCCACTTATAAAGCAAATTACTTGCAGAATCACCAGTTGGCAGGTGCAGTCTCTCCTGAAAATATTTAACAACACCTTGTTCCTCCAGCAGCACAGGCACTTGGTATGTGGAATAAACATCTTGGATACATATGACCTATTCAATGATGACAAAACATCAAACGTAGATGGATCAACTCAAATATGCCACAGCTTGAGACTCTGTCTCAAAAAAAAAAAA